CACGACAGGCTGCTTTGTCGTTCCTGAAGCAGCCACTAGAGGGCGCTGCTGGATCATTCCTCAGGATCACAACACACAGCAGACGCTGAGTGATAGAAAAGGTTCATGTAAGTCCAGCTAACAACACTGAAAAATGGTTCTCCCTCTGATTTAATCGAATCTTCTTTGTTTATACAAATAAAACTCTTTACTATGAAAACTGAACATTACGTTAATAAAATAAGACAATATGTATGACCTCTGCTGAGAATAAATAGTGACCTTGATAGGTTACTTTTATGTGACTTAGTTGTGTAAAAGCTCAAACTTATAAGAATAATGGATAATTATTTATGTCAGCACTTCCTGTCTAATGCAAAGGACAGTCATCTGTGTTGCATTTGTTCTGTATGACTTCCAGAATCTTTTTCTCATGGGAGAGGGGTTGCGGTCCGGTTCAAAACGAGGGAGTGTAATGAGAAAAGAAAAATAAATAGAACAAAAGCTTCTTCTTTTAAATATGACACTGGCCCCATTGAAGGTTACATCCAGGAAGACTCTGAAGTAGCCATTCATGAGGCAGAACTACCCCCCCCTCCCCCAAAAATAAAAAATACAATGGACATGGAGGCAGAACTACCCCCCCCCCTCCCCCAAAAATAAAAAATACAATGGACAGAGCAGGAACATTTTGTCAGACCACGGTTTGTTTATCTAAACATGATGTGCCAAAAGCCTGTACAGTGACAACTAAAGAAAAACTGCTCATTGAATGAGCTAGTGTAAAAATATCAGTACAAAACTCAGGGTGTCCAGTCATGAACCCAAAGCTCGGTTACTGCGGGCTTTGGGTAAAGGTGGCTATCAGTCTCAGAGCTCCTAAAACATGACTGTGAAGTTTCTTATTCTAAAACTATATGTCTATAAACCTCTATTTCAGCCCTGATCAGAACAGGCTGTTTCTGTGTCTGCACCTTTAAATATGTAAATGAGCTGTGTCTGACCACGCCCCTCTCTGGAAGGGCTTGGTGTCTCAGGCTTTATCGCTCCATGTCCTATTGTTTACAGTGAGAAGGCAGACTCAGAGGGCAGAACAAACACCTAGCTGTGGGAGTGTCCCCCATCTGGGGGAGGGGCTACTGCCCTTTGTGATGTCATGAAGAGAAAATCTCCAAACGGCCTGTTTGAGCACACATTTTCTGAAAAGTGGAGCAGGCAGAAGACGGAGAGGATGGACTTTTCTCATCATTGGGAAAACTGTCAGATTTTATCTCGTTTGTTGATTTTGACTTCTTTTATCAATCTGTCTTGTTGTTCTTAAAACGCTTTGTTTGCAAACACAGATAATTGTTAAGTAAAAGCAGAGGATCTTCATGAACAAACGGTTAATGATGACGCAACATCAATTTTTGTGTCAGACGAAGTAAGCTGCAATCTGCCCAAACCGCTTTATTTTTACATTTTCCACATTTTAGTTTTTACACGAGTGATCTAGTGACTGTTTTGACAATTTTGTGAAAAAACATTACAAACATGTACAGGACAAAAAGCAGCAAAGAGATAAGACAAACTACTTTTTTCCACAAGGGAAAAAACAACACACATGAAAGTTCCTTACAGGAGCTTTAATAGTCAAGTCAACGTTTTTTTTAAAGCACATTTAAAACAACCACAGTTAGCAACCCTGCTGTACATGCTTAACACCCAATATCAATTCAGATAAATGAAGAACCATAAAAACAATAGAACATGATAAATAAGAGTTAAATATAGTTGCTTAATAATAATAATGTCTAGATGTCAAGCTTAAAGGCAGGGTTGGTTAATTTTCTCCTGATCCACGTTTTAAGATGTTGGTTGAAGTTTTAGGTCCTGAAAGAAATTAATAACTCATGTTCTCTGAAAAAGGAATGAAGAAAATCCATCATCTGTATCAGTTGTAAGTCAGTAAAAACTTCAACCAGTGTCTGCCACGAGTACCAATCTGATGAACCAATCACACGCCTCCCTGTCTCCCTGCTCGTTCTCTACCCCATGCGTGCACGAGCCCACAGTCAGAGCATGAGCTGAAGTCGCTTCTGGACCAATAGCACTTGTGCATGTTAGTGAGGGGGCGTGGCTTCTGAGGGAGCACAGAGGGGAGGAGGTGGGTGCAGACGGGGCACTGAGGGAATGCTTCTTTCAAAATCATGCTAGTTTTAAAAAATTACCAACCCTGCCTTTAATTTCAATGAGAAGCCACGAAGAGGTGGGTCTTTAGCAATGATTTAAAACTGTCAGGGGAGTGAGCAGTTTTAAATCAGATTGGGAGAAGCTACCTTGAAGACGCTGTCACCTCTCTTATCTTTCACCTAGAAATATTAGACAAGTGGAGGATGAGGAAAAGACTGTCTGAAGAAGCTTAATTAAACCTGTAAGGTATTGATTTCAGCTGAAAGTAAGATGTGCTGTGTAACTTTGTCAAACATTAGCTACACTTGACAAGGCAGCTGCTAGCTGGCAGGAGTTGTCTTATCGTTGTCTCCAACTGAATCTGTTTTTTTTCCTGAAGTAAAATTATTTGTTTTTGCTTTGCTAACTATTTTTAAACAGTCTGGCCCTAGGCACAGGGAACAAGGACACGCCCTTATTCCAGGGTTCTGGAGAGATGGCCAATCAGAAGAAAATGGGCTTGCAGGAAGAGAGCCTTAAAGAGACAGTACCTGAAATGGCCCGTGTCAGACACATGCTAATCTGAGAGTTCCCACAGACACCAAAAGGTGAGATCGATGAGGAATTTGTATATCTTTAAATCATGAAACATTTTCACAGAGTTAAAATATGAACTTGAAATGGACATTAAACTCCCCTTTAAAAGAAAACAACTTTCTTTGATCAGTTTTATTTCTGTATGTGCTCAGAATATGATGTGCACACCTTTAAATATTTTTTTCTGATATTTTATTTTGTGTTATTCAGAAAAACCTATGGAGCTACTTGTATGAGTTCCCATTATTTATAAAACAAACATGCAATAAGGGTAAGGCTCCTTCAAAAGAAAACACAATTTTAATTTGCACAATCAAAAATCAAAAACTCTGGACCGACTCCAGCTACCTTACTGATGCATTAGTTAATGTTTGTGGATGCAGACTTTATTAAACTCATTAAAAACAGTTTAATTTTAGATATTCATGATGAAACAATGTGGACCTTAATGGCTGTGTTGGTTTAAAAACAAAAAATGAGTTTTCACTGTGTCAGTAGGGACATCTATTGCATGTTGAATCTGGTCATCTGCAGCAAGCTTTGTTCCTGTGTACAGGCGATGAACACATTAGACATACTCCATACATTGCAGAAGAGGCTAAGTATAATTGACATATCATAATATGCTCATGGTGTTGGATGAAATGCATCCCGACTGATGCTTTGTCTGCAGCTGACAGGCGATTCAATAGGGGTGATTACATGTTTAAAATGTCAAAAAATCCTGCAACACGGATACAACCTCTGTCACTTTTCTAAAGGAACAGAGCGTAATTAGAATATTATGTTTGTGAGACAATGTTTTAATTGGTACGCCCACTCTGCTCAAGAGCAAACCACAGGGTTTTATTTTTATTTTTTCCGAGGCGGGCATCCACCAGATTGGTTCCGACATAGACAGAGCTCCATAATTACACTGCTCTATTCAGCAGCACTGCCTGTGCGTCAGAGCAAACGTCACATTAGAGCTGCACATGGGGACAGGACATTAGAGAGAGAGAGAGAGAGAGAGAGAGAGAGGAGACACTCCTCACAGCTGTGGCGTGTTGTCACTGCTCACAGGCAGATGTGCTGTCACCTTCTGTCTCTCACTTACAAGGTGAAAAGATAGAGGAGAAGCAGCTTTGTTCTTCAGTGGATGTGCAGTGTTACAGACACATCTCTTGTGTTTGGAAACACATCCAGTGGTATGAGATCTATGACTGGCATGCAGCCTCCACTCTGAGATGACACAGTATTGATTCAGGTCTGCCTTGGCTGGGAGCCCCTTATGATTATGAAATATGGCTGAATGATTTAATAACGTGTTGCTTGGTCTGGTACAAGCCAGATAAAGACTTGATGATTGGTGATGGCACCCTCATGTGACACCTTAGACGTTACATCCAACTTTTAGTGAAAGACCCAACAGCTAGCACAACTGGCATCAAACTGGCTGATAGTATAATTAAATGTTATTAAAACACAATGTTGCATCACAAAAGGCAGGTTGTAATTTGCATTAATTTCTCACATTGTCTTCCATGTATAGGTCAGAAATGTGGCACTTAAAAGTTATAACTTCCCTTATAATAAGAATAAAGACACCTTCACTCAGCCTTCATTGATGAACTGTATACAGGTCTACTTCTAAAACCCCAGCTTAGCAACCTGATGGTAATGATGATTATAATGACGACGGCGGCGATGATGATGAGGATGATTATGGCAATTAGAGCCTGTAAATTGATAGACCCTTGCATCTCATTCATGCACATTATGCATGAAGCCAGCAAGCAGATAAATTAAATAACCTCTTTAAAGCTCCACCTCTCCTCCCCTTATACTGTCTCTTGGCATCAGACAAGGACGCTCACGGCCTCACCTCGTTCACTTACTCAAGGCAAGGCCGGAGAAACCTGTCACAGAGCGTGCTGAGCTTTAACCCCCCCCCCCCCAGACTGAGCAAACATTGGACACACAATTTACAAGAAATCACGCAGCTGTGTCGAGGTACCCTTGAGCAAGAGACCCTTCTGCTCTGCAGCTGACCCTTTCTGCAAGCAGAGCAGAGTAGCATTTCCCTAAAGGCAGGGGGGGTCAGGGAGGTATCACTTTGTACATGATCTGCTCTGATGTTGGTGTCCTCATCGTATAGCCTTCATCCCTGCAAGTGCACGGCTCCTGCATCCTGTCTGTCATTTATTCTGGAGCTGTATCTCCCACCCACCCCACACCACCACCAACACCCGTCTCATCCACACACTCAGAGAGAGAGAGAGAGAGAGAGGGAGAGAGAGAGAGAGATCCTCCTTGGAACACACCCGTCAGTGTCTCAGTGTGATTTTGACTGACTGACTGACTGACTGGCGGGGGATTCTGGAGGAAACACACGGGGAAGGATTCACACAGTCTCCGCTTTTTCACCGTCTTGTCTGTCAGTGTTGTCACGGCCGATGGTTTTCTAACCTCACCGCCTGACTGACCGCCTCACCATCGGATCTTTTTACTTGATTCTCCCCCCTCCTTGATTGGCTGAACCGAGGCTGATCCCAGCCACCCTGTATCGTGGACCGTGGGGCTGTTCAGCGAGCCTTATAGCTGAAGTTGGGCACCCGAGATGAGCGCCTGGAGACCCGGGAGCGGTGCTCTCCACTCGCCGGGGAGAGGGTCGTGGTCGTGGCGGTGCTGCTGGTGGTCGTGGTGGTGGGTGATGATGATCGGGGTGGCTGTGGGCTCGGGGGATCCCTGGATGTCCGTGGACACATGCCCGTCGTCCTGCTCCTGCAGCAGCACCAGGATCTCCTGCGTGGACCCGGGGCGAGGAATCAATGCTTTCCCGGTCCTTCAGAGCGAGACGGAGATGGAGAACATCACCGACATGTGAGTGTCATGAAAGAGGGAATCATTTGTTCTCCTTTCATCTAAACATCAGATTAGTTTTCTTTCATTTATTTAATTTAATTTAATTCAGAACAATTTACAAATAAAGGAATGTCATCCTTTCCCTCTGTGCTCATGGTGTCTGGAGCTGACAGACAACAGCCAGGCCCGCTCTAGATTTTATCTTTATTTTTTTTTAGTGAACATAAATGTACAGAAAATCCACGAGTTAACCCGTTCGGATATTAATCCAAGTCCTTCTGATGGATTCGGCGCTGGTTCGGCTCTGCCACATAATGTGTAACCTACATTGCATAACAGCTTCATTGCCATCATGGGGCACATCAGTCTTTTCAACACGAGCGTGGAGAGACAGGTCATTTAAAAATGAAAAGCAGCTGCGGCTGATTGACTTTATTCTCACAATTATCCCGAGACAAAGTCCAGGCTACAGGCGCGCACACGCCTAGATTTGTGTGCGCGTGTGTGTGTGTGTGTGTGTGCGCGTGTGTGTGTGTGTGTGTGCGTGTTTGCGTTTGAGTGTGTTTGTGTGCGCGCGGGCGGAGACACGCCGAGAGACACCACTGTCTAAATATTAGCACAGACACTTCCCAAGATGGCTCATCTGAGTGTATTCAAATGAACCACAGTCACGGAGGAAAATCGATGTAAGAGTCAACATTTTTGATTGGATTTGCAAGACAGTCTAATTCAAGGTGTCACAAAATCCCAGTGTGAAAGGCGCTGTAATCAACCTTTTTGATTTTCCCTTTAACGTCATTTTGGCCTTGAAATAAATTGAGCCACATCATATCTGAGAGCAATTAAACAGGAGATTCAAAAAAAAAAGAGAAAAAAAAGTCATTGCTGCAGTATCTGTCCTGGCAGAGATAAACAGCCTTGATGATAAGGACTTGTGTGAGATGAACTTGGAGAAAAAAACAAAAAAAAGCCTTGGACGCTGTTAACATGAGCCAGCAGTCTGATGAAAAGACACTGACTGGGTGCTTAATGTAAACAGACAAATTACTGATGACCGAGAGACGTTTTAATTCCAAACGACCTTGCCCCAAAAAAACAAAAAACAGGGAGCTAGATCAGGTTATAGTGTCCTCTCTGTCTGTGGTGATTGGTTGAACATCCTGATTATTTGGACCTCTGACTGAAACACACACTCTGACTGAGTCTAAAGGGCTTTCAATGTCAGTGTAAACTCCTTAAGGGGGGCTCAAACCAAATGAATAGTTGACTTCTCCTTGTTTTTTTCATAAACGAGTTGTAGAACAGATCGAGTGTAAGCTGAATGACCGGACAATAAAACCCCCAAAAAGGGTTCAATAATATTTATGTTGTTGATATTTGTGGGTGTTGCCTCCTTAGGATAAAAACAAGAGGAAACAGTACAGAAAGTTGGATCATAGGTAATGCAGCCTTTCTGAAAAAAACAAAAAAAACATGTAACAATAAGCGTACAAACTAGTGAAAGATACAGGTAGTAATTGCATATTCAAATAGACACATGGAGGTTACTTCAAGCACTACTCCTCTCTTTGAAGGAACACAAGCATGCAGTGAAGCGTTCATTAAAGCTGCTGAAAAACAGATCTCAGCGTTAGGCGATGATGTCATTATTCACCCAAACTGAATTCACTGCTGTTTCACACATACTACTGTTTCAACGTTTAAATGGTGATTTGTTGCAGATTTGTTTCCTTGTCAGAGATGAGCTGCAGATGTGGGTTTGATGTATTGCTCCGTAATGCCTCTCTGGAGGGAAAACATTTTCTCCCTTCAACACCGAGCTAAAGTTGCTGCTTTGGAAACATGAAGGGTTAAATTGATCAGCACGCTTCTGTGTTTCATCCACTGAAAAAATGCTGACATTCTGGGTCAGCTTCTTTAATTATTAAAAGGTGCATATCAGATGTTGGAGGTTTTTTTTTCTTCCCCTCTACAGTTTATATTTCAGTCAACTTGGCTTTATTTGATGAGGAGGGCAGAGATCAGACAGAAAAGAAATGAGGGAGGCAACGAAGGCACCTGCCAGACAAAAAGCAGGGATGTAATGATTATGTGTTGTATGATGTTGTATGGCGTTACATTCAAGGCCACCAGGACACTGCTATGAGATATTTTAAGATTAAGCATTTGTGTTTAATCCTTGCTGAAAATCATTCGACTTCCATTTACTAAAAAGTCATCTTTTTGATTTAAATTCAGAGCTGGAAAATGAAAACTAAAGCTAACCACTGACCGTGAAATCATCGATTCTAATGAGAGATGATTTAGTCAGCCGGTGTCTCTGTGTGTCCGCCACATTAAAAGCATCATTTAATGACCTTGTGATTTGACCAAACAACATGTGCAGCAGGGAGGCTGACAAAGAGCTCGGCTGTGACAGTCGCAGCTCGTTCCCTCTGAAGGTGAGCCGCTCTCGGACATCTGATCTCCAAAGATCTGTTATTTGAAAAGTACACATTGTTTTGCAGAAACCTGTTCACACGGTAACACTCAGTCACTCGAGGGAGTTGCCCACAATCATCTCCTGTCGGCTCTTAAACGGGTCGAGTGCCTTGCTCTAGTGCAGCAGAGGGAAAGAGAGAGAGAGAGAGAGAGAGCTGAGCCTCCTTCTCTACTTCTAACAAACTCTAAACTCCCCCTTCCAGGGTCATTCATCAGCCGCAAGCCTCCAAGAGTTCATTTTTTAATGTTGAGCTCTAATGATGTGGGTTTATTGTGTTGCTTTGTCTTTTTGGAATGCTTCTGTGCATGCTTCCTCCTCCCTGTTAAACAAACGAGCCTGCTGACACACACTTGTATCTCCTGACAGCTACATCGCCAACCAGAGCAGCTTCTCCTCCATCAACGACAAAGACCTGGACAACTACAAGAATCTCAGGAACCTGTGAGTCTTTCACCGCTAATGTGACCAGACAAACATTTTGCTACATGACATGTATTCAGGGATACTATCTTAGCTGCTTCCACCAAGCAATCCGGTTCAGTTGGGTTGGGTTCGGTACCCATTTATTGGTGTTTCCACCGTCATAAGTTGGGACTGGTACCAAAATAAAGGATCCGTACCATCCTACTTTTTTGGTACCCTTCTGTTGGGGTGCCAAGGGTACCGATCCGACCCTAAAGGGTCCCTTTTGTTATCATCTTTGCTGTGCTTTGGTCAAAATATAACATGAATCAAGCACCAGAGGAGGTTTGTGACCCTGTATAAACCAGCTCTCTCAGAACGCTCCGTTTTGGTGTGTGTGTCTCTTTAAATGAAATGGGCCCCCCCTGAGTTTTCCTGGTAGACATCACTCCTCTGTAGTGAGAATAAAAATGGCGGACCTGAGCAAAAGTTTTTTTCTAGGCTGGGGGTGGAGTCCATGGGTGGAGATATTGGATTTTTTTGTTTACCAGAATCCCACTGTGACATCACAAGGAGGGCAAACTTGAAACGGAGCATTTGTCTCTGTGTTGTAAGACTTATGCAGACCACAAACAAAGGACTGGATGGGTTTATTTCACATTTTGTGGGTCTGCAGACACTCAGGTTACCCAAACATATGTTCAAAAACACTGTAGAAGAGGGTTTTTCACAATATGTCCCCTTTAAAGTCTTCAGTTATTCAGATATTGTGATGTAACATGATAGGATTATCTTTAAAATATATTAATTTTCACAGAATCGCTGTTTTGTGGTGTTATTGTTATTGTGTGCCAAGTATTGCGTATAATTTTATATCATACCCCCTTAGTCCTTTAAGTTAACCACAACACCTGAGCAGCAGTTAAATGCACACAGAATGACTGTAAACGTCTTGTTATAGTGTTAGAAATTGTATTTACTTTTCCTATACAGATAATTCTCCCTTTTCCGTTACACATTATGTTGTTGCTTTCAAACGGCCTGTGATTATGGGGGATATCCCCCAGTGCTCAGAGGTTCTCCTTCCTCTGCCTCTGTGTCTCTTTTTTTTTTTACATTTCTGAATCTCAAACTCAATTGTCTACCAGGCAGCACTAATTTGAAACATCACAATTTGTTAAGTGGACAGCTCATTTTCCAGCCAATGTCCCTTTCGGTAGAGAGATGAATACAAAGCATGTTACGCACTGCAAGGGAATAATCTAATAATGGTGGACGCAGGCCAGATGAGTGTTCAAGCAAAAAGTAAAAAGTAAGGACACGTGTTTTATATACTTAAGAAACACTGTACAAACAATTATATTGTATTTAACAGGAAACGGTCCAGATGCCAAAAGTATGATACTACTTTGATCTTTTTTACAGCCAGTCTCTTTTTTTATGGCTACAAATCTTTCCTGCCAGATGTGCTCAGTCAGTCACCTTCTGATTATAATTATTATTCATTAAAGATAAAGATGTGATGTCACAGCCTCCCCTCAGCTGGCGAGGGTCACACTCCCCGCACTACAGAGTAACCTGCAGACTGTCGGGATATTAAAGGCACTCAGCGCTGTTTCTCCACAAACTAATGAACAAACTAATTTGGAGATTTCTGTTATGTTTTAGTTTAAAAAGATAAATCTATTTTATTTTAACCAGCATCATATAACCAGAAGAATCTTGTTGATATAAAAAAAATGCAAAAATAATGAGCAGGCATATATGCAAACAAAATACAAGATGACTATAATGCATGAAGTATCAATAAATATTTATCAAAATCACAAACATATATCAGTCAGTCGGATGTGTCTGCCTCCAAGTCGTTTAAAATCACCCTAAAAGCATCCAATGAGAGCAGCTCTTTAAGGTCTCTTTTGGTAAATAAGATAAACTGATAATCAGTTTCTTAGTGTTTTTCTTTCAGTTTTCTGCACAGTAAATATAATCCACATAAACATTACTTATACAGAGATAATATTGTCGCAAAACAATTTACAAAAGCAGAACTAGATCCTTAAATACAGAAACAGATCCACACATGTGTACACAGATCAGCATGCAAAGTCTGCTGGGATACCAAGCGACAATCTGTGTGGCTCTATTTCTGTTTTTAAGGATCAGTGTAAGCATTTGTGGATCTATTCTCTAGCTGTTTTCAGACTTAACTCTTCTGGAGACTTTTTGATGAGGAACTATCCATTAGGCAGTTCTCTGAGATCTAATCACCACAGGGACTTTGTCTGCTTTCACACCGCCATGGTCCCTACTCTGAGGCAGGAGCTAAAAAGGTTCCTCTCAACGAGGTTCTAGGAACTAAAATAGTTCATAGTTCCTGCGGTGCGGATAAAAACGACGGAGGGTTCTAACAGTTCCTAGAACTATGAAAAAGTTCCTGCGATCCGAAAATGCCTTAAGCTACAACGAGGAATGTAAAGATTAATCATGAGGCAGTTAAAAAACGATTTAAAGGAGTCGAGATTCACATCTGTACTCTGAAAAAAGAATCTCAGTAACATGGTGAGCTGGTGAACAGCAGCTGTAGAGCAAGATTTAGAAACTGAGGACGCACCATCGTCTTTTATATCGGAGGTGTGGAAGCATTTTGGCTTCCCCAAGACAGAAAATGAAAGAGGTGAGAAGATAACAGATGAGACAAAAAACTGTGTGCAAATATTACAAGAAATAGCACGACCAACATGATGCAGCATTTAATCGACACCAAGGCCAAACCACACTGACAGGCGGGTTAGCAGCCCGCTCGCCCCAAACGAGTCCAAAGAGATTACGAGGTGCATCGGTGTTCTCATGAAACAGATTAAAGGAATCTTTTTCGGTCATCTCATACTTCGTCTTCAGTCTCATTTTGTAAAATAAATCACTAGCTCCGAAGACTTCCACTGACATGATGTTGCTTTGTTCACTTAGGACGATAAACGAATCAAAGTGCTTTTTAAATTCAGGCTCCAGCTGCTTCAAATATTTGGTTCCTCTTGTTTAAAACAGCGTCTATATAGTATTTATAAGTTGTAACTAATGTATTAGTAATCATGCAGATGTGATACATTATTTAAGATGAGTAATCTTTAAATACCAATAGGAACATCATTCAAATAAGCAAGAATCTGCACCAAATATATCAACTCAAATGTCACAGATCTTGATTTTTTTTTGTATTTGTTGATGATGCAGGTGATGCTGCTTACTGAAAACTGTTTGTAATAACTATATTTTGTGTGTTTGTGTGTGTGTGTGTGTGTGTGTGTGTGAGACAGAACGGTGACCAACAGCAGACTGATGTACGTATCGATGCTGGCCTTTAAGAACAACCTCAAGCTACAGTACCTGTAAGTCCAAACTCAGGGAATAAATCCATCCTCTCTGTTAATATAACAGCCACAGTAAGTGTGACTCAGTTGGGACCAAAATGTTCTGACGAGTTTTAACATGTGTTTTCTTGGTTTGTCGTGTGATTTATTGTTGGAGTTAAACGATGACGTAAAGAAGAAATAAAGAACAACAAAATGTTTTGACAGCCGAGCGTCTGGCGGGAAAAGAAGTTCACTTCAGGTTCAGCCTGAACACTGTTTATAATTGGTCTTCAGATCTTGTTAACGTAATTAAAGCTCGATACCTATTATACTAATCAGATGTACTTCTTGAGGTTAATTGTCACATTGCTTGGAGGGGGAAACTTTGAATGTAAAAACAATGCAGGCTCATTGATGCGTGTGGAAATGTGCCGCCTGCTGCTCTAACATCAGCTTTATAGTCCTTGTGTTGATTTCACACTCTCACTCCCTGATGTTTTGACTTTAATTTCCAGGAATCTAAAGGATAACAACCTTTCGTCACTGTCCTGGAGGATATTCAGACACCTCAACATCTCTTATCTGTGAGTTCAAAGCTCTGTCTGTCTGTCCATTTCAGTGTCTGTCTGTCTCTCTCTCTCTCTCTCTCTCTCTGAGTCACCTGTGGTTGCCTTCACAGTGTGTTCATGAATACATACCATCTTTCATGTCAGCTGTCAGTGTTGTGTTTTGAAGCTTGGAGTTTGGTTTTCTCCTGCCTTCAATTTTGGGATTTTGTGGGGACAGAAAAATATTTTTTTGTAACTATTAACTTAGCTGAAACCACCAGGGCTCAGTGAAAACACATCAAATAATTTAACCCTAACATCGTTTACGTCATTATAGGAAGTCGCTGATTTATGTCCAAGTGTTAATCTTGCAAAGAAGTTCAGTTTTAATTTGATATTTTATGCTAACTCCATTATTGACGTATGCGGCTCCTGCAGTGCTGTGTGCGTCGGATAATCAGAGTAGAAGAGAAAATGGTGAGAGGACACGTTCCAAGTTCTGAGTCATTGATCTTTCCAAAAACTTTGAGTGTCGAGCTTCAAAACTGACAGAAGAATTTGTTCTGCCTTGGGCTCACCTCATCGACCTGCCGGATCTTCGCTGTTTTATTGACACGTTAAATGTACAATTTGGTGGGGCAATGGTTAGGGCGCGAGTCCCATGTATTGAGATTGGTAGGCCCAGGTTCACTTCCACCCGTGGCCCCTTTCCGCATGTCATTCCCTGCTCTCTCTCTCCCTGGTTTCCGACTCTATCCACTGTCATCTCTGCATTAAAGGAACGAAAAGCCCAAAAAATAAATCTTTAAAAAAAAAAAAAAAAATGTATGATTTGGTTTGAGGAAAGGGCCAGACCTACCACGCAGACCCCGGCTCCAAATGACGTCACCTGAGCAATATGTCTGCACCTGTTTCGGGGATTTTTTGGCTTCGATTTTTTTTTATTAAGGGTAGTAGGTTGAGATCAATCAATCAATCAATCAATCAATTTTTATTTGTATAGCGTCAACTCATAACAAGTATTATCTCGAGACACTTTACAAAAAGCAGGTAAAAGACCTTACTCATTGTTATGTTACAAAAAGCAGGTAAAAGACCTTACTCATTGTTATGTTACAAAAAGCAGGTAAAAGACCTTACTCATTGTTATGTTACAAAAAGCAGGTAAAAGACCTTACTTATTGCTATATTACAAAGACCCGCTGCAGACCCCTGAAAAAACTGCCTTATTAAAAGGCAGAACTCTTCAGCCGGATCCCCGGCTCATGACGAAACAGCCTTCACAGGCCTAGACTGCACCGGGCTTGGAAAGGGATAGGGGGAGAGATGGGATAAGATGCAGGAAGAGGGATAGGGAGCAAGGGGTGGGGGAGGCAAACCGTCCATCAACAATCCGGTGGGGAGGGGGTGTGTGTGTGTGGGGGGGGTTGTCCTTTTTTATATACAGTTAATGGTAGCATAAAAAGTAAGTAAGTGACGCTTGTCTACTCCCCATTGTTCTTGACAGTTCTTGGCTTTGTGTGTGTGTGTGTGTGTGTGTGTGTGTGTGTGTGTGTGTGTGTGTGTAGGATCCTGTCAGGGAACCCTCTGCACTGTTCCTGTGAGAACATGTGGATCAAGCTGTGGTTAGGAGAGGAAGCAGACACTCAGGAGCTGCGCTGCATCGAGAATGGAGGAGGCCGCAAGCTGCTGTCCGGACTGACTTTACCTAACTGTGGTAAGGACACACACACACACACACACACACACACACACACACACACACACAGTGTGGAGGACTCAGACACACGCGCAAATGGAAGGACCTGGAAAAGACATTCTCAAGCTGTAACTGAGTGAAAAGTGCTGAAGGGCCAGGAGGAAAACAGTAATCCTGCTGATTTCCTCTACACATTTCATCCTAAATCTCTGTTATGATTGAGTGTGTGTGTGTGTGTGTGTGTGTGTGTGTGTGTGTGCTCTCATGTGTTGTACATGTGTCCCACACATCTGTTTTTTTATGTAAGTGCTTTGCTAGCTTAAGTGTAGGATATCGGCTTTATGAAAGTTTTTATTACAATTGCAAACATTGTAAGCGTTTTGTCAGTTCTCAGGGGAGGTTAAACAACGGCAGAGATTTAAGTCCGTTTCAAATAAACAAAAGAAGGAAGACATTGTATGCATTAACCAAAGCCACTGCAGTAATCACTTATATCTGATATAAGACCTGCTGGTATGTGAACCTCCACCGCCTACAGCAGAGAAGCAGCGCACACTGTATTTCACTAACACAGGGCTTTGCTTAGCTCTGTATATTGTAATTTCCCCAGACACCGAGCAGAGGAAAAAGCTACAATTTCTTACACATGAGCAAGCAAACAAATGACCAAACCAACGCAAGGATGCACACTCAGATCTTTGCTTTTAAAGAGGGGCTCAAATAGTAATTTGTTTTTTATGCCACTGAGCCTAAAAGGTGGACGTTATCTCCGTGCTGCGGGGATTCTTCTTCTCTTGTGATGCAGATAGAGGAGAGCTACGTATGATACAAACAGTAAAGGTTTTGTGTTAGAATCTATTGGTCATTATAGAAGCACAGAGAGAAGACACTGAGAGGTGCTCAAACACAGATGACATCATGGAGTGTTAAAGATGCTGAGTGGGAAACTCCCTTCATGCACCATCATGTACCACAGTGAAATGAAGTGTTATAAAGACCATCTGCACTGTGTCCTGTAGCACCTGTGACCTGCTGTCATGCAGCACATTTCATTTCCTTTTCCTCTTAAAGGTCCATATTCTGCTTTTTTGCTTTTTATATGCCCTTTAGTGTGTTTTCCAAGTGTCCTGTGCATGTTTAGGCTCGTCTATGTGCAAAGATTCAAAGTCCGCAGAAACGCGGCTTCTCCTACCTCCTCCTGTTAGCTGTAGCATTAGCTGCATGTAACGCTCGTTTCTAGCCCCCTTGATAAAAATGTGTCAGTCCAACGTCATTGTCAGTGTGAGATCACTGATCTAAGTCCATTGGCTCGTTGTGGCAAGACCTGCGCTCAAAATCCTACATCGATAAAATTAAAATACAGCACATACGTGACCTTAACGTGCCGTGCACATCAGTCGGCTGCAGGATGTAAAAAATTTTAGTAAAAGTAACTGAACATTGCGGTTAACAAAAA